CACACGTGTTCTTCGGTATTGACATCTGAGTTGATACCTCAATTGTTATCAATACCATGTCTCACAAGATTATGTCGACTCGATAGCAGTTTATCAATTATCTACTATACCAACAAAATAGCATTATAAAGTAATGCACATGTCAAGGTAATAACAATACTTATATAAGTCATGCGACTGGATAGATTATAAACTGCATTATTCTATCGTATTTTTATTACTATTAGCGCGGGAGACCTAAACTTTACTGGGGTCCCCAGGTAACAGACAACTGTGATCCGAAGTTAAGAATGAGCTCCTGCTCCGATCACACATTATAAATATAAACCTTGGCAAAGAAATTAGACGTCCTTCCTTTCAATTACCAAACTCTCTCCCGCTTGTTATTTGGAGCCTGGACCCATTTTAGCGTTGGTTTATCGATGAGTAAGGCAGCTAACAGGGCTGAAGAAGTAATAGCTATTCTTTTGTAGAGTAGAATCATGCTCTTAAAGTGGAGCTAATGAAGCCAGCTGACTGATCATTTGACGTGAAGCTTAACGGTAACCAGGCCACGGGGCCAAGGCTCATCATTATAGTTAGTTTGATTGATTGGAGCGATTGGGACCATTCAAACAAGTAAATGATGGTGCGGGGAGCTAATGGCTCATTACTAATAGAATTAGAATGATAAGTAATAACAGTAAACGGTCTTGCAGAAGGCAAGATTTGAAGCATAATATCGATTAAGTGCTGTGCCATTCGATCTATGATGAGAAGTTCGTACGGTACGTACTTTAAAAAATTGCTGTACCGTACGTACTAATAAAATTATAAAGTTATAAAGTACGATAAATGGGTTTTCGATGGAAGTCCGACTATCCTGACAAAATGATAACAGGTGCACTTGAAATGGCGCTACGGGCACCTAAACTTATGTCGCCGCATTCTTATTTCCATCATTAGAATAGTATGACTGTACGTACTCCTATTTAATTGAGTATCCTATCTAATTGAGTATCCTCCTATCTTATTGAGTATCCTCCTATCTAATTGAGTATAATTATTGCAGTTATTCAAATTAATTTATTGTCTTAAAAATTGTTTAATTCGACTTTAGCATCACTTGCACCAAAATTTTGGTTTGAAAATTGCATACATACCTGCCAATTTTACAACAATAGAAAAATAAGTGATAAGGTAAAAAACGGACACCATTTTTTCAGAAAAGTTTGAAATCTGAAGATTTCAAACTTAAACAAAAGATCGCTCTGTATATGTGATTTTGATGGATCCAAATAGTGCAACATCTGAAGAATTCATTAGCAATGCCAGCCGTTGCAAAGCTATCCAAATAATATAATATCCTTGTATATAAGGAGGGGGTGCATGTTCAAAGCCCTGCACCTCGAAACATAACAATAACATAGGTCGCCAAAACAAAACGATTCAGCGCTGAAGGCTGATACTTTTTATATCTTTTATATCTTAAAGTGATAACGTCAACAGTGCAGTATCAAATTAATATTAGCCAGGATAAGTATTATGATAAGTATTATAATATCGATAAGCATTATGATAATTTATATTATAATAAGTATAATAATAAATATTGATATTATAATAATGATAATACACAATAACAATTCTTAAAGGGTCATTCAAAACTTACGATTAACCGCATAACATAACCATTAATCACGGTTACTGGATCATGAATCATGATATAACTGGAGGTTCAATCTTGATCGATTTTATAGTACATAGTAGCGGAGAGAAAATGACGTCATCCGACGTGTCAAAACCAGAATTTACAGCGCTCATAACCAATTCCAATGAAATGTCTCGCCACTTAATAAGTTAATAGATATTAAACAGCAAATATAAATTAAAAACAGACCATCTGCGGCATTTCAACTACTCGGTGAGAAAGATGGTTAATAAACTTGACAACTGAAGAACTGATGCCCAGTGGGGAGATGAAGCATAAATACTTAATTAATTAATTACGTGTTTATTTCTCAGTAAAGAACTGTTACGAGATCAAATGTAGCATCTTACTCGACTGAAATGTCATTAAAAATAAAGTGTCCAGGTTACAGTAACGTATGAATAAAAGATGGACGATTAGCTCACAGAGGTTTGGTATTTTGAATTACTAAACAAATGCCCAAGGCACGAGCATAATTATTACACTTCAGAATACCAAACTTCCATAAGCAGTGCTCGCGGTTATTTATATTGCTATAAGTATAATTCTTCTCGACCTGGCAACACAAAAGAAAACTGAATGTTTGATGTTGCTAGAAATTTACGGTCACGAATGATACCCATAAATATTAACACGCGGGTCAGTAACCTGTAAAGTGTAAAGCTAAAAGGTTAGGAATTGTCTCACATTGGTAATGGTTAGATAAAGGTTTCATGACGTTCCATTGCAAGCTTTTGATATAAAATAGTCTAACACATAGTAAATTAAAAAAATTAAGTTTAATACTTTAATGTTTAACATGTGATATGTAACATAATTTACAAGCTACCCTTAGGCTTAAGTTAAAGCATCCCTAATATAAATGCCTTTTATATTTCATTACCTGTGTCAACTGTCAAACAACAAACGAGCGCAAGCCCGGTAACTTTTAAAATTTTAGTGAGTGGCACTTCAAATGGTGGTAAAGCGATATAAATCATTTGCTTCACGCTATATCGCAGCCATTCGGCCATATCCAGGGCGTACCAAAGGGAATGAATTGTCTAACCAATAACTGAAACTCTAACTCGCATGACGTAACTAATTGCACCCACTACTCTAACTCAGTACTACTACTCATAAAGCAGCTACATGACAGAGCAGGGATAAATATTATTTATTAACTAAAAGTTTACTGGGCCGGGCCGCGCTCAGCCTGTCATTCCGCCTAATCTCTATTATGTTAATGAACATAATAGCCTGGGGTCCCCAGGGAACTAAAAGTCTACATAACAAGGACTAAAACAAGCTATAATTTTGTTACAAAAAAAATTTTTGTATATAACTGTTTAGTGTTTACATGTTTAGTATTTGTCTCACCACTTGCACATTGCAAGTTGCAACCTTGGCTAGTTTTCAGCTACAGTAGCCCTTACTGGGCGGCGCTCAGTTAAGTAGCTGTCCGCTGTCATTCTGCCGCACGTGTCAGCCGTCAGGCCAAGCAACGTTTGGCAATTTAGTATTAGTGATTAGACACTAGTTCTAGTACTAGTAGCTATAGCTGTGCTACTGCTAGTAGCTCTCACAGTATTAAAGCAAATCAGAGGGCTTTGCGCCTTGACGAGGACGTGTGATATAATTATGAATTATGTTAATGGACGATAGTGATACCCGTATAATATGTATGTTAACATCGTTTATAAATAATATTTATTTGAAAAACATTTATTTAACGCGATCGGTCGATGATATGAGTTGCGAAGCAACTCCAAACTCGACGCGCGCGTTAGCAGTTAGTTGTTAGTACATCTAGTAGGTTTTAATTTGATACATGTTACGTATCACAAATATCAGAGATATTCCGCCTTCGGCGACGCGCGCTTCGCGCGCGAAAAGTGGCATGCAACGTATGTCAAGTTTCAATACAACATGATGTATATTATAAATATTATACTTATAGTTAGCTAGTTAGTAGTTATACTTATAGTTATATAACTAATACTATATCCAATATAATATTCATAGCATAAACCTAAAATAATTATGTCATGCAGCTTAAGTTATTTCAACAGCACATATAATGCAATTATTAACTTTACGACTGATCTTTTTATGCTCTTTTGTGTTCTGGCGTTTATGATTATCATATTCATCGAACATTTTGTAGGGCCGCGGCGCTCAGCCTGTCATTCCGCCAAATCTCTATGTTTATGAATATTATAGCCTGGGGTCCCCAGGTAACGAAAATTATATTACGGTTAGAACCGGACCGATGCGCTCGATCCACTCGAAATCGCAGGTTATTAATATTATAAATATACCTGTTCGTACGGACATCCAACATCACTATCAGGCTTAATTTGTGTCCATAAAAGATATGGCGGAATGACAAGCTGAGCGCCGCCCAAGGCAATATGATTATGAATAAGATCGTAGGGTTGAGGGTACGTTCCCCGAAATTTGAAATTGGAAATGAAAGTCTTGACAGATAAACGTGGATCTGAAAAATGGCAGAATTTTTATGATGTTAAATGATGTAAATGTGAAATTTAATATTCCTTTAAGTTTAACTTAAAGCGCTCGTCTTTTTATGTGGGTTATAGCTATTACTATTAGAACTAGGGTTTTACGAAATATCTTAATCCTACCCAGTACCCATAACCTAAATCTAATAAATATGAAATTTTAAATTTCACAAAGTCTTATTTTGTCAAATGAAAATCTCCCATTTTGTAATAAGGGTGTACACGCATTTATAATAGTGAGAGCTGCGTTATCACTGATTGGACGTTCTTTTAATTTGTCAATTTGTGTCTGCTAATCTTGTTCATTGATGTACAATTGACTGAGACTCTGTTAAATGAAGTAAATGTTAAAATTTACGGAAAATTCATTACAATTACAATAATATTTTCATGTTCCAACAAACGTCTGTGATTACAATTATAAAAGTAATAGAAAAATATTAGGCGTTATTAATAGAAAAGTGACTGATTAGTAATAATTGTCAGTTATTGACTAAAAGCAAGAATTAGACCCGTCACATAAATCAATTTCCAGACTCTGCATTACTTAAGAGTCCTCGTGAAATATATGGATCAAAAAATGATCGCTCTGAAATCCAGTCCTAGTTTTAAACATTCTACTTCTAGTCGGAATATGCTAGAAAATTTATTAGCATGGAATCTTCTGCATTCTGGAGATCCTAAATATATGCTATCATAGAGACGACAAAGGACACCACAATAGGATGTCTTGGTTATAATTGAGGAAGAAATCGTTTAGCAGTAATTAAATTAGTGAATCTAATTAGAGGTCTTTCTCGAAATAATTTGCATTCCCATCTTAAATATTAATCTTGTTCGTAACTTGTTAACACAACCTAAATAATCGACAGAAGAATGCTACATCGTATCAAATGATTTGCATTCAATACGGCAGTCTACCATACGGACGTTAAGCAACTGATACGCGGCACTAACAAGATCAAACACGGCCTCTAAGTAAGTACTAACATAATGAATCAACGATCTCTGTTGAACAATAAATCATACGCATAACGCACCATACCAACAGATATGCATCATATTCTAATTTCTGAGAATACGTTTATATAACTATAAGCAATTCAATTTTCAAGCGAAAAAATCTGAATCGTTAAGTGAAACGTTTTCGTGACAACTTTTTTTAAATAACTTAAATCTAAACTAAAATAAACAAAAATTCTTTAAAAATAAAATATCGAAAATAAAAATCAAATTTTAAACTTTAAAACCCAACTGCTAAGACATCACACAGTCCCAGCGGTTTACTATCATCTAACTCAAACATCATGCTATCCCTAAATACCATCTCAACACTTGGGATCCGCACACGCATCCAACTGGTTGTAGCTTTGTAGAAATGAGAATTGTCTCAAATTTATAGCGGCCGATGAAGGCGTTGAATGGCGCTGCGGCGCGGTTGGTAAATGAATTCAACTATTAAGCGCAATGATCATCATTCGTGATGAACTTGGTAACAAGGCGTAACCGTGAGAGCAGACATTTAACTAAATATCTGCGACTATTTGGCTACTTTAATGCTGCTGCGTTGGTAGGGTGGATTTATTGACTAAACAGCAGTTAAATCAACGCATTTTAAGACAAATCAGGATTCGTATCTGATACTGATCTCCATGAAGGGCAATTGAATAGCTCAAATATCTGAATTACCAGCTCAATTATCTAAACGCCGCTGTGAATCAGACTATCGTGTGCTCAAATCAGTAGGTTATCTTAATACCATAATCTCCTAATAGTAATAAATAAGACTATAGTGCTGTCTAATGAAATTGGCCCCTACGGAACAGCTCCACCAATTAAAATACATACAAAATGAGAAGAGGGTGTGTCAGAAGCTCACTAACGATACCATTATAGAGGACATGTTTGCGGAGTATAGTAGACTCTAGATTAGGTAACAAATGGGCACATGTTCTGTAGTATCAACACTACCCTCCAGTTAACGACAAAATCAGAGAAGGATCCCGACCATTTGAGGTTCCAGCCCAATTTGCCCCCCCCCCCCCTCCCCAAAACAAGTACATATTATACTATTGTAATTGCATGGCCCAATGGCCGCACCACCCACAGTATGATTATAGATTCGTCCGGCTGATACGTAAGAATAGCGACAGATGCAAATATATTTGTATATTATTAATATAACGATCATAATATGTCATGGAGAGGCTTGAGATGGCGGAATCCGAACTTATAAGTCAGATAACAAATACAGACAAGCCCGAGTTAACCTGTGAGAGTCTCAGTATTACCCACTTAGTTCTTCAATTGATCACTAGATTTGCTGTTCAATGGTTCGCGTGACGCATTTAAATTGCATCATACCTTTTGTCGGTATACATGTATGGATTGAGTATGATTCTTAGGGAGCTGTTATAGTGGCAGATATATATCCCGGTAATTGCCATCAGTAGTCGAGATGATATTAAGATCTGTACACGGATTGGACAGATACTGGAAGTACGTGACTAATCTCAGTAGTTTTTCTCCCTCTACAACCTACTCCAGGAGGGTAATTAGAGGGTTTAGAAAGTTGGGAACTGCTCACTGTCACGTTTGTAACAAGCTACTCCCCCGGCTACTACCATTGTCTTGTTCACTAGCTAGGGATGCGTTCTGTACAGCGTTACTCAATAGTCCTATTCTCTCGTATTCGTGAATGCTCTCCGCGTCGGAGGGTGGAGGTTGGGTGTGGTCGGATGATTGCGGAGGAGGTGAGGATGTGTTAGTAGGAGGATCTGGCCCCGGACTTGATCTGTTGTCTGTTTCTACCTCTACTTCCATACTGAAACATAAACCTAGTTATTGAGGGGGCTACTGAGCAAGAACATTATATAAACTACAAATGAGAATTTTTAGTGTCATATTGACAAGGATTGATCCACAGCCAACAAGTGAACACCAGGATAAAGAAAGACAAGGATGTAGGGTAACCTTGAAGTAGGTGGAGGTCTGATATCAGTGCGAGGGGGTGGTGTAGGACCCCTAGGTCCCCCATGAGCTGGCTCTATACTGGCTATAGAGTACCCTGGCTCGGCTGACTGTGTGTGCCCAGGGTGACTATCCATACTGTTACCAGCCGAGTAACCTGGAGAATCTCGCTGTACGGGTGTGAAGAATTGGTCTGATTGAGTCATTCTCCGAGATGGTGGCTGGTGAAGTTCTGAAATGAGGATATTTATAAGTTTATCAACAGCTTCAGCTAGTTTACTATTCTATTTAACAGGAATAATTTCGGACATACTGCAGTTAATCATGATATTTACAAGCAAAGATAATCTATAAACTGTTAACTGACCTATTTCTGCCTGGTAAGCAGGCGGAGGTTCATCCTCCACTGTGTCCCTCTGTGGCATGAGATAGGGCATTGCCGGCCCAATCTGCCCCATCAACTGCTGGGTCAGCATCTGCTGGCCCATTAGATGCTGGGCTTGGTTCCAATCAAACTGCATCTGCAATAAATGGGAACTTATAACGCTCTAAAAATATGGAGAAGAACTAATAAGAATCAACTAATTTGAAAAGCAGCGGGCTTCGTCCAAATTGACAATACCAGGTGGTTTCCAGTAGGCTAGATAGCAAATAAAAAGCACATTAAAAATCTGTGTTGAAGTTTTTCAGAAAAGAAGACCCATCAATTGGTCACAGTAAAAAAGTTTGGGGATCATCGCCATGTTCAACACTCGGAATCCAAACGCGATCGAACGAATGGTAACTGATTTTCGTTACCATGACGATACTTAAATTAATGATATTGGAAATATAGGCGATGATCCTTCCTAGTTTAAAAGCCCGCTTTACAAGACTCAGCAAGAAAATAAAGATAAAGCTTATTAACCCTGCCCCCGTTAATCTAGTGTTTGGTGATAATAAAGCATTATTACAGCGTAGCCCCAATAGAGTGTAGCTGAAGATAGTCAATCACACATGCTTGCGAGCTAGGTACCTTGAGGCCAGGTCCAGGAGTTGCAACTAAAACAGGCCTCTTATGCACATATCCTCGGAAGGCGGGGTTCTGCAAAAAGATACAGTCAGACCTCTATGCGAATTAAATACAGGTCTGACTGTTCTCTCGCGGGGATTAAAATTTTAATTCAAATATCAGAAATTTTCAGATCTCCTTCCCAACTAGCACTACGAATTATGACGGAGTTATCTGCACTGTTACCATAGTAACAGTGTAGTTACCATAGTAACAGTGTAGTTACCATAGTAACAGTGTAGTTACCATAGTAACAGTGTAGTTACCATAGTAACAGTGTAGTTACCATAGTAACAGTATAGTTACCATAGTAACAGTGCAGTTACCATAGTAACAGTGCAGTTACCATAGTAACAGTGCAGTTACCATAGCAACAGTGCAGTTACCATAGTAACAGTGCTGCTAATATCTCACCTGTTCCTCCACATAGTGAGGTGTCATGACAGTGTTGGGTGTGTTAGGCATATCGCCATAGATCTGTTCTTGGTAGGTCAGAGGGTACATGGCCGGGACGTCCTCCTACGAGGGGTAATTTAGTAGTTAGTATCAATTATGGTTTAATTTCTAAAGTTAATGTAAGTTATACCCTCTTTAAAAGTTGAATTTTGAAACTGGCAATACAATGAAATTGAGCGTAATACTAATATACACTATACAGAGTGTTTCAAGACGTGTGTCCAAATTTAAAATTATAACTTTTTATTTTATGAAGGAGCAACCTAATATACCTTTGTTCTTTTCCTCTTCTTGAGTACGAAGTGTACGATAGCTGCCACTACTATGATAAGTATCAATGCGCAGCACACTATAATTATAATCTTCTTAACGTCGAATGGCTTTGCTGCATCAATTGTGGCGCCACTGTCTGGGTCTTGGGGGTTGTAATCTGAGAGGTCAACTTAAGTAACCAATTAATTAAATTAGGTGTTCAATAATGACGCTACTTTAGAGGAACAAGTATTTTTACTGTTAACAGAGTAACTATTACCTGTAATAGCGACTTCGATATCACGACTACTCTTTGGGAGACCCACATTGTTGCTGACTTCGCAGTAATATCTTCCAGCATCTGCAGGAACTATCCGGATCAGTTTCAACTCTCCTGATAATAATTAATTGATTAATTAATTAATTAATTAATTAAACAATATGGAAGTTTAAAAACATATAATAATAAAATGCAATTAGAGAAACAAAAATATCTTTGATTTTGTTTCAGGAACTCCACCATCCACCGCCATTTTGAATTTCAGTAGTTCAAGTTTTGCGGTTGATGACAAACATTTCCCCTCCCACGAATATTAGCAATTCGTGTGAAAGAATGTTCTAACTTACTAGGATAGGAACTGTTACCATGGTTACTAACCTGAGTTCTGGTCGATTCTTGCACTCTCAGGAAGAGGACTACCGTTCTTTAACTTCCAGGTTACTGTAGGTTTGGGGTGACCATCACTCAAACATGTCAGAGTCACATCTTCACCTGGTCAAGATATCAGTTACCATGATATCAGTTACCATGATATCAGTTACCATGATATCAGTTACCATGATATCAGTTACCATGATATCAGTTACCATGATATCAGTTACATATACCATGATATCAGTTACCATGATATCAGTTACCATGATATCAGTTACCATGATATCAGTTACCATGATATCAGTTACCATGATATCAGTTACCATGATATCAGTTACCATGATATCAGTTACCATGATATCAGTTACCATGATATCAGTTACCATGATATCAGTTACTATGATATCAGTTACCATGATATCAGTTACCATGATATCAGTTACCATGATATCAGTTACCATGATATCAGTTACCATGATATCAGTTACCATGATATCAGTTACCATGATATCAGTTACCATGATATCAGTTACCATGATATCAGTTACCATGATATCAGTTACCATGATATCAGTTACCATGATATCAGTTACCATGATATCAGTTACCATGATATCAGTTACCATGATATCAGTTACCATGATATCAGTTACCATGATATCAGGTACCATGATATCAGTTACCATGATATCAGTTACCATGATATCAGTTACCATGATATCAGTTACCATGATATCAGTTACCATGACGACTGGAACACAGTGCGCGGCGTATATCAGATGAGTGGTCCGTAAATTATAGTTTTCAGTGGAATACGTTATCCGAATACAATCTTCTTTCATATTTGTAGTTTTTCTCGCCTCTATGAGCAATTCTGGGGTTTTGGTCTTACCTCGGGGCACAGTTACATTTCTAGGACCGACTCTGGTTACGGTGGGGCTCACCAAAACTGTCAGATCTGCTTCAACGTCAACATTTCCTGCTTCACCCTGTTAATTATACTGTTTTATCTCATTGACACCTATTCAAACATATTATTGAAACATATTGAAACATATTATTACTGCCGTAATAATTATACTTGCAGTATAATTATTGCATTATAATATTATTATAATTATTACTGATAATAGCGTAATAACCTCTTTAAACTATTTCAAATTATACAAGGTAGCCCAGAAGTAACTACCCACACGCAACCCTTTAATAACTCACGTAATTCTCATCAGAATTGCTTACAAATTTCAGAGAATAGCTTAATAGAGATATGGGTCAAACTTAGATTTTCTGAAAATTTCGCCACCATAAAGTGAGAACGTTTTGGGTTAGGAACTCCAAAGTTTCCAGACACATTTGGTTTGATAATTAAAGTGCTTTTAAGTTGTATTGGTTGTGTACAACTAAGCTGAGTTATGACCCTTTTAAGATCTTTCGGAAACGTGATCTCGGCACTTAATCAATGATTTCGTCACCCAATCACTCAATCAGTGATCTCATCGGGAGCTATTCACTAGCGGGCAAAATAAGCCTCATCAGGACGGTGCCTTAAAAACATCAGCAGGTGCGGGATCACCAAATTGTCTATTAACTCTAGTGCTCAGAATACACACTGAGATCAATATGAATTGAGCTTATTCTTCATAAAGTTTCAGACTTTACTATTATAATAATATTATAATAGTGAAGGCTGAAACTTTATGAAGAATAAGCTCAATTCATATTATGATAATAATCTGCTTCTGGTAAAGATATAATACACAAATTCTAATATCCTCTCTCTTTTTGTTCAAAATGGTACAATTGGCTGAGTTTTCGTGATGTCTCCAGCAGATCAGGTCAGGACCACTGGATTACCTCACAGACTCACCACTAACTACACCCACGCACTAACACTAACTAAGTGTATTCTCTAGACTTTTAATCGAAGATTATTCTTGATTTGTACGGACTATCAAGTTAATAAGCGATGGAAGACTAAGACAATTAATATTGGAATTTAGGAACTCATTTAATATTTTAATTAAAGTGTTGTCTGGCTGCAGTACGCCAGTACTATCATGGTGATACGATCAACATGATTTCGTGTGAAGGTTTTATAACGATGCGCAGAGTGCAGGAGGAGCGCGGGATCATGAATTTATTGATTTCATGCAAAGGATAAGCACCTCTCCTCTGATAAGGCTACCTCTCCCGGAAATAAAACAAGAGGTGAATATTTATTACAATTGATTACTATTGGTTACTATGGTTACTATGGTTGCTATTGGTTACTATGGTTACCTTGAGACTGCAGATGTACGTTCCTGCATCCATGTAACTGTCGACCCGGAGCCTCAGTATAGTTCCATCCTCCACAATCTTTGCTGAGCTCGCAATCTGGCTGCTGCGGGTTATATATGCTTTCACAAATAGTATATTGTTTAATTACAACACTACAAATCTATCAAATTTATTGAGGACGTTACAGAAGGAATTAATTAAATGTAGTTTGAGGAGTCCTCACTCTCCTCACGTCCAATAATGGCGTTTCTCTTGTCGCTAATATATTATACAATAAAGCAATAATATAAACAGAAAGAGGCTATATCATATGCATGAAGCATTACGTAGGGTAAAAAGTGTTCTTAAAAGACCATAATATTGCATAACTACCAAATTCATGGTAATGTAATAAAAGTTCTGGAGACATACCTATTGCAGGCAATAGTTCTACCCCCACACGGCCAGACCCCAGGCTTAATTGCAGTTCGATATTATATAGAGATATCTTGTTATCTGGTGTCTACAAGCTAGGGATTACTTCACAGTTTACCTGCTAACTCGTTTTTGCAACTTGCAGATATCCCGTACTACGCAATAATAACAAAATACTATTTAGAGCACTCATTAGCTGCACAAGATCCAATATAAACGAACTATGGTAACTATGGTAACTAGTAGTGTAACTATGGTAACTAGTAGTGTAACTATGGTAACTAGTAGTGTTACTATGGTAACTAGTAGTGTAAGTATGGTAACTAGTAGTGTAACTATGGTAACTAGTAGTGTAACTATGGTAACTAGTAGTGTAACTATGGTAACTAGTAGTGTAACTATGGTAACTAGTAGTGTAACTATGGTAACTAGTAGTGTAACTATGGTAACTAGTAGTGTTACTATGGTAACTAGTAGCGTAACTATGGTAACTAGTAGTGTAACTATGGTAACTAGTAGTGTAACTATGGTAACTAGTAGTGTAACTATGGTAACTAGTAGTGTAACTATGGTAACTAGTAGTGTAACTATGGTAACTAGTAGTGTAACTATGGTAACTAGTAGTGTAACTATGGTAACTAGTAGTGTACTATGGTAACTAGTAGTGTACTATGGTAACTAGTAGTGTAAGTATGGTAACTAGTAGTGTAACTATGGTAACTAGTAGTGTAACTATGGTAACTAGTAGTGTAAGTATGGTAACTAGTAGTGTAACTATGGTAACTAGTAGTGTAACTATACAACTATGGTAACTAGTAGTGTAACTTTAACGGTAACTAACCTGAGTCTGCTCCAGGATGGAGTAGCAGCCCCCTCACTCTCACACATCAGATCCACCTCAACTACTGCGTTACTCTCCGTCAGAGTGACGGTCCTGTCCTGGGGCAGTGTTCTGAACCGGGCTAGTGGGGGACAGTTGTCGTAGGGGGACCTCCAGGTGCGCTCACTCCCACACTGGTCCACTGTGGTACACACCCGCTCCCGGTCAGAGCCGGAGCTGCACCAGCCACAGTACGGGAATGCAGACTGAGGATGTGGAGGAGTTATGTTTACAGTACGGGAATGCAGACTGAGGATGTGGAGGAGTTATGTTTACAGTACGGGAATGCAGACTGAGGATGTGGAGGAGTTATGTTTACAGTACGGGAATGCAGACTGAGGATGTGGAGGAGTTATGTTTACAGTACGGGAATGCAGACTGAGGATGTGGAGGAGTTATGTTTACAGTACGGGAATGCAGACTGAGGATGTGGAGGAGTTATGTTTACAGTACGGGAATGCAGACTGAGGATGTGGAGGAGTAAGCAGTTACATCACTGCTTATAATGTGATAACATTATTTTCACAACTTTGAGTTGTGAAAATAGTTTTATCCAACGAGTTTGACGAGTTGGATAAAACGAGTTATATCCCGAGGTTTGACCGAGGGATATAACTCATGTTATCATATTATAAGCAGTGATGTAAATGCATTCTCTGATGATCTACGAAATGATGTTAGCGAATGCAGCATTTACATCGGAAATTAACGACCGATAATATTACTACATAGAACATTCCAGAGTCAAACTTTCTAGAGGACACATCCTTATCTCTTAAAATTGTTACAGGTCGCTGAGATGTTGCTAATTATTTTAAATTGGTCAAATAAGCTCAGTGAAGCTCACACTCACACAAAACTTGCCAGAAATGGTTGACTACTTGTTATTGACATTCTGTAAAATTTTGAAGCAAAAATATTTATCAGAACATAAGTTATACCACTTTCTGTTTTTAAAATAATTAGCAACATCTCAGCGACTAAGGATGGACCAGGGAGATAACAATAGTTATCTCCCTCCCAGTTATTGCACCCCTATTTAATGCATTCTATTAGCGTAAACAAGAGTGAGATAACAACTTTTACATTATGGACAGTTACACACTGATCATGAGAGAATTATGTTTACAGTACGGGAATGCAGACTGAGGATGTGGAGGAGTTATGTTTTACAGTACGGGAATGCAGACTGAGGATGTGGAGGAGTTATGTTTACAGTACGGGAATGCAGACTGAGGATGTGGAGGAGTTATGTTTACAGTACGGGAATGCAGACTGAGGATGTGGAGGAGTTATGTTTACAGTACGGGAATGCAGACTGAGGATGTGGAGGAGTTATGTTTACAGTACGGGAATGCAGACTGAGGATGTGGAGGAGTTATGTTTACAGTACGGGAATGCAGACTGAGGATGTGGAGGAGTTATGTTTACAGTACGGGAATGCAGACTGAGGATGTGGAGGAGTTATGTTTACAGTACGGGAATGCAGACTGAGGATGTGGAGGAGTTATGTTTACAGTACGGGAATGCAGACTGAGGATGTGGAGGAGTTATGTTTACAGTACGGGAATGCAGACTGAGGATGTGGAGGAGTTATGTTTACAGTACGGGAATGCAGACTGAGGATGTGGAGGAGTTATGTTTACAGTACGGGAATGCAGACTGAGGATGTGGAGGAGTTATGTTTTACAGTACGGGAATGCAGACTGAGGATGTGGAGGAGTTATGTTGGAGGAGTTATGTTGTATATTATATATTATATATCATACACTGTATCGTGTTTTACAGTAACAAATACAGTCTCTTCCGTAGAAACATTTGAAAATGCGAATAGACAATAAGTGTGATGTTGTGTGATATTGTGTGATGCTGTGTTATGTTGTGTGATGTTGTGTGATGTTGTGTGATGTTGTGTGATGTTGTGTGATGTTGTGTGATGTTGTGCACCCCATTGGAAGATATACCGCCAGAACGGGACAAACACATAGTGTTTCAAAACTCGTATTATAATTTGAAACTTTAATTCTTTAATTTTTGAGGAACTCGATAAGTTTTAATAGGCTTAATTTATTGGCGTATCTTATTGACAGTAATGGAATCAATCAGACGGCAACATGACGCTGCTGTCACTAACAAAGCTCTTTTGTAACTGGCATGACTCTTTATTGCAAAAAATGCCCCAATTTGGTTGAAAACGAAGCGATGCAACCCAAGATTATCAGACAAAAATTAGTGTTTTGTGAGAGCTTAAATATGTTGTCAAGCGACAAGAACATTTGTCTAGGAAGTGTGGCTTGATTTGTGAAATGGGGGGGGGGGGGGGGGGGGGGGGGAAGGGGGTTTCTAAGGTAACTAGAGGGGGTTACTAGAGGGGTTACTAAGGTTACTAGAGGGGGTTACTAGAGGGGTTACTAAGGTAACTAGAGGGGGTTACTAGAGGGGTTACTAAGGTTACTAGAGGGGGTTACTAGAGGGGTTACCAAGGTAACTAGAGGGGGAAACTAGAGGGGTTACTAAGGTTACTAGAGGGGGTTACTAGAGGGGTTACTAAGGTTACTAGGGTTATTAAGACTCCATACCTGACAAGACTGACAGGTAGGGGGGAGGCAGGGACAAAAGGAAATCGCAGCATGTACGGAATCGCGATTTTTCCCATTATTTGCGACAAATTTTATGTATAGTTTAATATACCGCGAAATTTAATTCGCGGTATCGCGATTTTTGGCCAAAATAACCGTGAAATCCTTTTGTCCCTGGGGGGAGGGGGTTACTAAGGTAACTAGAGGGGTTACTAGAGGGGTTAATTAGGTTACTAGGGTTATTAAGACTCCATACCTGACAAGACTGACAGGTAGGGGGGAGGGGGTTACTAAGGTAACTAGAGGGGTTACTAGAGGGGTTACTAAGGTTACTAGGGTTATTAAGACTCCATACCTGACAAGACTGACAGGTAGGGGGGAGGGGGTTACTAAGGTAACTAGAGGGGTTACTAGAGGGGTTAATTAGGTTACTAGGGTTATTAAGACTCCATACCTGACAAGACTGACAGGTAGGGGGGAGGGGGTTACTAAGGTAACTAGAGGGGTTACTAGAGGGGTTACTAAGGTTACTAGGGTTATTAAGACTCCATACCTGACAAGACTGACAGGTAGGGGGGAGGGGGTTACTAAGGTAACTAGAGGGGTTACTAGAGGGGTTACTAAGGTTACTAGGGTTATTAAGACTCCATACCTGACAAGACTGACAGGTAGTGTAATGTCCACACTCCATTCTGAGGGGAGCGAAGCCGACCCAATCATTAGACATGAGGTACACTTGAGTGGGGTCGTCTTCAGGAGCACTGAGCTCCACCACCGGGCCACTGTGCTGCATCCTGAGGATCCTGTGTCTCACTGTACCACCATAGTTCTCCTACAGGGTGCGGGAGTTAACACGTTGGTTATGGTGAGAAGATTAAAAAGGAGCTAGGGAGGCCCTCAAGTGCGAGTTATTATAATCCAGCAACTTATGCTATGTTTACTTCAAGACATATTTCAATCCATCATGTCCAAGTGTACATTTTCCGTCCAAATATTGTGATATACTTTAATTCTCTTATGAACAAGAATTTTATATGCGTGGGTAAAGTTAAACCTTGAAGCCGATTCTTATAAGATTTCCACCGTTGGTTGCGGTGTTAGCAATTATACTCGATTCCTCACCAATCTCTATGCTTTGTACCACCAGCTTTCTCATCTGTACCGCACTAATTGGGGATTAAAACATATTAAAAGTTTTCGGGTTATGAAGTATGATAAAACTTTAATTCAAAAGTGATACTTAATAAGGTCAAGTCATCACTAAAATCGGATTGGCTCATTTATTCCCATTTAGCAAGCAGATCAAAATGAGACAAACCGAGACATACAGGGAATCACAGTTGATGGTACTATGGTAACCATGGTAACGGCTCGGCGGGACAAAGTTACTTTACCACTATATTTTATCAGATACGACCGCAGTAAAACATGAAGCTTGGGCAAATTATCGACTTGTCAACGTGAAAATGATTTTTATTGGACAATAATTTGACAAAATTGTCACTTTAAGCTGTTTCCATTTTCTAGTGATTACAACCGCATGATGTATATGGTTAGCTGCAAGGAATGAACGAAACAACACCAGAAATGAGAACAGAACATGAAATGTTTCGTTTTGATCCCTGCAAAACCATCCCGCCGGGACCCAGATTCTTAAAATCTACCGCTCTCACAATTGCAACACCCGGATATTCCGATAGTGGTAGATTTTGGGCAAAATGGAGCACACGGGCCAAGAAGCTATGTTTCAGGCGTAAGATAACCTTATATGGACATTATAGCCCACCTGTAAAATACTGGGTCGGACGAAGTGATGACGCCAGACATAAGCTGATTATTGCTCGCATCCTGCGCTGTTCTACCCTCCAAACAAGTAAAGGGTTTAGCTTCTGCCTCATCCCGGAATCCACCTGGATGATGGAGAATTTGTTATATTTGTGGTGTTTTGAAACTAAGGTTTCACAAAGATAGTTAAGTAGTTAATACCACGAAGCGAATTTCTAACATTCTATGAGAAGGTCAAAATATTAAAATGCGTGCAATTTCTGAGTTTTTAAATGTGATTATAACTGTCTACGATAACAATTTCAATTGGCGAGTAAAGAGTATAATTAATTTCACTTTTAAAGAACTATTAAGCTAATTTATCAAACTAAAGTCGAAACACTCTAGTTCTTACCAAAAGCGAAGTACTTTGCCTTTCCCTCAAATACACGTGTAATATCATCCATACTAAATCTGCAGAGAACTGAGCCGGTCTCGATCACACTCGTGGGTCCGGAGAATAGACCGTATAGGTAACCATTCAGATAATAAGCCCCGCCTGGAGAAGGTACATTTACAGATTGAATTTACAAATTAACAATAATTAAGAAAAGAATAAAAATCAAACAAGAATTTCATTTTTTCCATTTTATAGAGATTGCGACGAGGAAACATTCATAACAAAAATGGTTAGAATTATCTATCACTGCGTATGGAATGATTTTGATTTGGAACTTTAACAAAATAGCAAATATACAAATGTACAGTAAATCGAACAAACATATAAAATGGGCCGAAATATATTAATGTTAAAAAGCGTGGGTCAGTGAAACAAGTACAAAGGACAACTTTCAAAACACGAGTTTTATGGCCGCCCAAAGTCTCAATAACATCACCTCCACCTAGTAATAAAATTATGAAATATGAAGTGTGAAACAATAAAAAATAGAGTATGTAAATAATAAAATTGTCTCTCAAATACAGATAACGTTCGAAAACTCTTAAGATACACATTACTCATTCAAATACTGATCAGTATCCGAGAGACATGAATTGCTTCATGGTGGCTTCTTATCACGGCTACAGACCTTCCCGTACCGGATATAGTGGTCGAGATGAGTCTGTTCAGCCCTCTTCTTCTTCAAGTCAGTGACCAGATGCTCGTTCTTCGCTAGATCTATCTGGACAGATCCATACATCTTTGTGGGTCTAAACTAGCCTCAGTCTCCCTGTTTTCATCAGAATCTGATGAACTGCTGTTGAGCTTGGGACAGTGATCTTGACTGGTCGGATAGCCGTACTACCTGGCCTCTTCCTACAGACTCTAGTCGCTTCGAAGTGAGGTTTCTCCCCAATCTCCTCCAAAACTGCGGTAACTAGCGCTGGAAGCTGTTCTCCCTCCTCTTCTTTCAACCCAAATACAATCCAGTTCTTGCTCCTGTCCTCCTCCGCAGCCACGTTCTTCATCACCTTCTTCAGGATGTTACTGTTGCAGACAGTACCACTTGCACTGTTCTGTTGTACAGCTGCACTGTAGCTCTGAATCCCTGACTCCACTGTTGTTTGCACTGTCTCCTCAACCGACGTCTTAAACAACTGTAGTTCTTTGTCCTTCTGCACAAGCAGCTGGCTCTGCAGCCTGATCACCTTATCCTTGTCTTCTAACGCTTCCGTCTTCAAGAAATAGATGATCTCCGTCATTTTAGCCATCTGGCATCTGGAATTTATAATGATATTATAAAATTGTCGTATAAATGAAATGGGTTAAACGATCATATGGGTAAACAGGAGTTACCTATTTCGTTGAAGTCGTATGGTGACTGTCCAGCTCGAGTATAAGAACAGTAGATACGTGCTTTAAGATACGTCACAAAGTTGTTGCTGAAAAACGGACCCCCTCCACCGTGATCTCTCTTACATATCCTTACCACTCTCGAATAGATCTGCTGAAATGTAGAATGAATTTACTGGGAATGAAGGTGGCTAACCACATCCAGATGCAAGGTGGTCCCCTCGAGTCCATTTCATCGGTGTTTGATTAATTTGACTCGCACATGGTTCACAGTATTGCGCGGCTCAACCACGCCGTAAATCCATAAAATCTTCACCGCGCGTAACACAAATAGACGACCTTGGACAACTTGCGACGAAAGGTGCCATTATAAATTTGTCACTAAAAATCCCAATTTATCTTATATCATGCTGTGGCCCATGTCTCAAGCAACAGGGGCCAGGGCCGGCCACCCCCGCAAAAAATTTCATGAGTAGAGAGTCACAGAATGTATAGCTGATAATATCACCCATGCTACATCATATTTATTCGTATATATTTTCATTTTCTAGAATATACCATATTATTAGATTGACTTGATAAGGCATAAGCTAGGAGGAAAAATCAAAATTTTCCATCGTATAAGCATTTGACAAACGCTTTTAGTGACGAAGTACTTTAGCTAGAAACTCAAGAACGTCCCCACTTAATCTCAGTGTTTTATGTTTCTGCTACCTTTGTAGTTTGTAACAATATTTACATGCATGTTACGCCACCAAAATACTTTGTTACTTATTTAACGCCTCCTTTAACACATAAGCAGCAGCAGTTTCAATGTTTCTTCGAATGATTCCGGTCAAGTAATATGTAACTGTCTGCGAAAATATGTCACACAACACGAAGGTGGTAAAATAAAGGTGGTAAAATGCAATTTCCTGTTCACAACTTAGAGCTCCCTTTTCGATAATTTATTGTTAATTTTCCACCAACTCCATCCAGGATAATGATATAATAGTATAATGAACATGTTCTCAACTTTTCCTCCTCCTCTCATATACTCAAAGTCACCGCGCCTACTCGGCAAACAGACGACACTGCAAATATTGCCTGTCCTGCAGTTTGACAGAAGATGAGATGTAATGAAGCAACAAGTTACTATGTAGCAATATGTTACATGATAAATGTCACCGTGAGTGGTTGGAATATACTTAATATATATACTGTACTGTGTACTATAATATTATACTTAAATAGTCCCACTCAAACTATCAAAGCTAACCTTAGACAACTTTCATTATCAAGACAGCATATATTACTTTTAATGGATCCGCTTTGATGGGAAATACTTAAATTCTAATGTTCTCTCGACCAATGAGATTTCAGTTCACAAAGTCACATGTGACAGCTGGGGCCACGTGGGAGCCTCTACTTGAGCGAGAGTAATCTTCTTATCTATTGATGAACATGCGGCGTTGTTATTGAAATAATGGGATCTCGAGCCATCATCGTATTGCAAAGCTATGATATGATGCAGTCATAATAATATGGTCTATACTCCTGAGATAAAGTTATTGTGTATACCACTCTTTTTATTACTGATTTTGTCACGAAAACACATGATGAGTCTAAACCAAAGAAATAAGGAAATATCCAGATTGTAACGTATAATTGACGGTCCAGGCTGGACCCAGGCTGTAGTGTTGTTCAATTTGAAACAACTAACAAGGCCGCAATTAGACTCCGACATTTAATTGTCGGACAATAACACCGGAGTAATGGTGAAGTTGTACAATATCAATCAGGTAAATTGGTGGCATGTCTGCCGTTAAACAACCCTCAATTGTCTAGTTTATGTTGATTGTCAAGTAGCAGCCAGTCAAGTTCCAGTTTCGGTTAACTTCTTAGATGGTACGACACAAGTCAGCTAGTTAGTAACAGAGGTCAGATGTTGAACTTTAGACTCTCTGAAGTTGCTTCAGTGTTTAAAGTCCCGCACAATTACTTCACCTCTCATAAGGCTTCTACGACGCACAGATGGCAGGCACTGCTGACTGTTTCAATTTACTATAGACGGCCTTTGTTGAGGGCGCTCGGGCCGGTTTAATTGTAAATAACAGAGCCAAATTACTGACAATTTCAAACTTCATAAAAGTAAGTACGGGCTTTTGGTTTCTTTTTCATTCTCCTTTTTATGCCATAAAGTATAATTCTACATGATCCGTAGTGTTTGAGGTTTGATGACAAGAATAATGTTATCATGCTACATAATATTATCGTAGCCACAGCTTAATAACTCAGATAAGAATCCATTAATTTGAATTGATAGCCGAATATAGTGTCTGAATTCAAAATCGGCGTCTTACTAACACCCTTAATCAAAAACCAATTTTATATGACTGGTACTTTTTATGACAAATATTAAATTCTATATGGTTCTAGAACTAAAAAGGATCGCCGGGAACTTATAGTTCATTATATGATATTATACTAATATAATATACCACATAATCATTAAATCGCCCAGTTTCAATCCCCCAAGTAAGAAATTAAATGTCGAGCGCAAATCAATTTATCAACGCGGTACCATTGGTTGGTATAAGTGGTAACTAACAATGAAAATGGGCATTTTGTATTAATTAACGTTTTTTTTTAATTAAAAACTTAAAATAATTACACGTTATTATTAGTATTTGAATATAAACTAACCTCAATGCTCATCACCTCGACCGCTATTTCCTTCAGTACGAAGTAAACGTGATCTCCGTACTCAAATGAGTAGATAAACTCCGGCTCTGAGGATTATGAATGTTAATAAGTGATAGTAGTGGGGGAGGGTGATTGCGAGAGGGGGGAAGGGGGGGGGGGTCAGGGTGATGGGGTGGTATGTGAATGGCCCTCACTCACCCAAACAACCAAAGCATAATATTTTTGACTGCTGCATTATATCACCACGAAATATTCACAACATCTAACACAGTAACCATGGTAACGGTAATCATGGAAACAGTCTGATTTGGCTGGTTAGCTTCTACCACTTGTTAATCTCTTATGTGATTCACCAGAAACTTCGTCCGCCGAACACAATTTATGTTCCAGTGTAATGAATTAAAGAACGTCACACCAAGTATAATGATTAATGTCGGCAGGAAAGGGACCTACTAATTAGCACACTAATTAGCAACCTCAATTAAACAGGTCCTTGACTGAATTTCCCACCATTGTAACAAGGACAGTCTCTCTCAGTCAACCATTCTTCCTCCTCATCTGAACGATCTTATCACACTTATTCTTGAGATTACTGTTCCGTAATGAGTGATGGGGGTCATGTGAGGATTATAGCACCCACTAATGAGTTGGGGGGGGGGGGCACCAACAGTGTTTGTCAAACACTTCTGATATTTTCTCCTTTATTTAAATTTTGTTGGGTTATTTTAGTATAAATCAGGAAAATATTGAATAAATAGTGAATTTAGCTCTTTTGGATAGCACGGATCGTCAGATTCGCAGTGACTTAAAGACAATAATTACTGGAATAAATGGCGAAAATAGCGATGATACCCTCCTCAGTAATAACAACTTCTAAGAAGGAGCGGCAAAATTTTCCCACTAATTCGGACCAGCTCAAGTGAAAAAGGGGTCCCTCAACCCGGCCTCCTAATCATGACATTGAGAATACCGTAATATCACCGCTCAATAAAAAGTAGCGGTGTGTTAAACACATATCACATAAAATACGGGAATATTATATGGCAACAATGTAACAAATTAGTGTAAGAACGACTGAATATGGTGAGTGAGACGGGAAGTCGTGTTCTTATCGGGTAAGTGAGAGGGGGAGAGAGCAAGGAAGGGGAGCTGCAGGACACTAGGGTAATTTAGGAAGATTCGTCATAGTTCACTGTGACATAAAGTCCAGGACACGCCTAATTGCTGCTTTACAGGTGCCCTGGTGTTCGACTGTATTTTCTGACTTTCTAATGTGAGTTTGGAAAATGAAATTCAAATATAAATATCCTGTCATTGTTATTATTAAATCACAGATCTGGGCCTTGTAATCATGCAGTTGATAACCGCAAATGAACATTTATTGTGCTGTTTTTGATTGAATTTGATTTTTGATTTAAGAAAAATGATCAAAAATGAGGTGAACAATTTTTGCGCCAAATAAACCACGGATAAGTGGATAATGGATATTTAATGGTATTATACGGATGTGAATATTTAGATAATTTATGTGTTAAACATGATGTTGAGAGTACATTATAAGTACACGGTACACGGTCACACAAGCCCTACAGCTCTATTTCCCAGCTCCAAATGTATCCAAAAAATGTCCACAAATTCCTTTATCAACGCCGCTCAAGCAAATGTAAACATGGTATCATGGAGTTGAGGCATGTATCGGTCAATAAATAACACTTAGTTAAAATAACTGCACCAAGCACACTGGTACCATATTTAAAAGCAGTTAATCCTAATGAAACAATCCTAATAAAACATTCCAACAACACGACCCCTCCGCGGTCCGCCTTCCCCCTGTTAAAACAGTATAGTCATGAATCTACACAGTGTGGCATATTCCTATCAAGAGTGCAGTGCCCTTGTGAGGGATTATTACTATTTGTATTATATGTTTTTCAAATTATTTGTTAAGATTAGAATTGGTCATTAGAACCACCCGACCCGGGCACTGTCCCAGTTTACAAATAAATGAACACACGATCCCCTGTTTGATCAGTAGAGATGAACACTTTCTCCCTCACTTACTGTTCAGCCAGTGGTTGTCTGACTTTGTCTTGGACAGGACGTCGTAACTTCCATATCCCAAGTTAACAAGAGAGATAGCGTACTGAGAACTACTCGCTCGTTCTGTACCCGCAAATCCAAATAGTGCTGAAAATATTGGGGTTTAACACGCAATTTCGTTAATAACTTAATTAACGACCAATTTAAAGTTTAAGGCTCCAGGGTTAAGCAGCGGGTTATTAATATTAAGCAGAATTTTAGTTCAAACGAATTTAAAAATTGGTAGTTTATATGTTTAGCGAAACATGTAGCTACGTTACTGCTGGTGTGAGATATACCCAAATAGGGAGCAAATAAATGGTGTTTGGCGTAGTTAACAGTAAACAGTGGGTTAAACTGCAAATATGGTATCACTACAGTAACCATGGTACTAGTAAATACAGTAACCATGGTACTAGTAACTACAGTAACCATGGTACTAGTAACCACAGTAACCATGGTACTAGTAACCACAGTAACCATGGTACTAGTAACCACAGTAACCATGGTACTAGTAACTACAGTAACCATGGTACTAGTAACCACAGTAACCATGGTACTAGTAACCACAGTAACCATGGTACTAGTAACTACAGTAACGGACCGGCTTTTTCATTGTTAACTTTCCTCTCATTCATCAGACCTGGACAAATTGAGATACCACACACACTAATGGAATATCTATTAGTATTAGAATAGTGCGACTAAGGTCACCCAGGATTCTGAGCTATAGTGCTCGGTTCTGATCTAGTGTTAAATATAAGCCGGGACTCTGTGTATCTGCCCACCATTGTAACTCATTGTCCAGGCTGATAGATGGCGGGAGATGATGACACTGCCGGAGTATTGTTATGTTCAGCCGCGTGTAACTGCACTCTAACCAACTTTATAGCTATTGCATCACCGAATAGAACATTTTCAGTGATATTTACCTGATGTACGTGCAGTGTGCACACAATGCATTATCGGGAGTTTGAACGCGCAGATGTCACTATCATCGTGAATCGTGAGATGCAGGGATTTACACCAGTGCATTTTAAAACACCAGAGTTAAAAAGATCCCCTAAATTCCATTAATTACATTCTCTCAACTAAGCACTATAACATTATCTCAGCAGGATCACACTGGACCACTAAACACTGGAAACTCTCAGTTCCAGACATCTGGCAGCACAGTAACTGTAAATTATCACGTGACTCCCCGCCAGATGTGAGAAAGTTGCCAGACACTGAGACTCCGCAGTCCGTGCTTGAGCGAGCAAGAGAGTGAGAGAGAGAGAGAGAGAGAGAGAGAGAGAGAGAGAGAGAGAGAGAGAGAGAGAGAGAGAGAGAGAGAGAGAGAGAGAGAGAGAGAGAGAGAGAGAGAGAGAGAGAGAGAGAGAGAGAGAGAGAGAGAGAGAGAGAGAGAGAGAGAGAGAGAGAGAGAGAGAGAGAGAGAGAGAGAGAGAGAGAGAGAGAGAGAGAGAGAGAGAGAGAGAGAGAGAGAGAGAGAGAGAGAGAGAGAGAGAGAGAGAGAGAGAGAGAGAGAGAGAGAGCTCCATAATTACTAGGTCAGACCCCATCCAGCTACATTATAGACCTCTCTCTCGTGCTGGCATCTCTGATTCTATTTCTCTCGATCAGGGCCCGCGTCCGATTTATACAAATACTATTAACTGTATAGAAAACCCGGTATGTATCAAATTATGCTGGTATCGTATTACGGTAGCTAATAACAAATGGTGCAGGTAGGAACAATAGCTGGTCTAGAGGGGCCAGGCTGTTGTTGTGGAGAGTAAACACTGTAAAGAGTGTGTTACATCTCCATGACCACCACCGACTGGAACAACGTGGTTCAGAGCATCGTGTATTTAACACACATTTAAATAGGGCAAGTGGGGTGTTCTGAGACGCACAGCTGCAGTGTGGTGAGAAAGTGCGACAATTAGTGGTTCTGAGACGCACGGCTGCAGTGTGGTGAGAAAGTGCGACAATTAGTGGTTCTGAGACGCACGGCTGCAGTGTGGTGAGAAAGTGAGACAATGAGTGGTTTGCAGATTGGTATAACCCAATGTGATGAAGTGCTTCTTAGTGGAAGAGTGGACTATTTATTTGAATTAAACAGGTCAGGATTGAGGCAATGTCAGGTCATATTAACACGACCCACTTAACTGCGACATTGTAACATCGAAACTTTCGTTAACTTGTTACATTCTGACCCCCTCTGTAATTGTACAATGTTCAAAGCCCCGTCTGGCATCTGAGGCTGCCAATACCACAGCCTGAGGCTGCTAATACCACAGGGCAGACCTTTCAAGCTACACAACCACCACGCTGTAATGAAATAACACCTGAAATTGCCGTTAACTAACCCATAGTTTGTAAGTTTGACTGTAATTACACAATGTTTACTGTTTAAACTCGCCCCACAACCACATACCCAGAATCTTATCTGAGAGGTAAGATGGGCCGGTGTGACAACAACTCTCACCACAGCTTGACAGGAGAACACTTGACAGTTCGACACATGAACATGTGGCGGCACTCTCTCAACACGGCACTCTCTCGGCACTCTCTCGGCACTCTCACCCGCTCTGTCTCTCAACACCTCCAGAGCTGGTGACCTGAGTCACAACAAGAGAGAGAGAGAGAGAGAGAGAAGTCATAACAACACGCTCTACTTTCGTTTCTGAGAGATCAGAGAAAGAAAGTTTATAGGATATGTCCGGAGTGAATACTTAGAACGGAGCTGAGTAAGATTGTCGGGATTCATCCCCTTACCTTAGGGGATTGGGAGGACTCTAGGAGCTCTTGACAGGAATGTAGTTGTAATTAAATTGAGGGAATGGCAGTGACAGCCGCGTGGTTTGAATTATTTTGCAAATTTATACTGATATTGTTGTGCACACTTGATAAAAGGTTGCCTTTAGCTCTTTAGCAACAGAGCAACAGAGCGAAATGGACTTGGTATGTCTTCTGAAAATACGACCAATCACTTTCAAGGAATGGTGTAATAAACCAAAACATGTTTTCTAATTTCAGGGCACACTTCACACTATCTCTCCAATCCAATCCACCATGTTATGTACTCAGTTCAATCATGCAGTGCTATGTACTCAGTGAGTAATACTACTACTCACCTCTTCTTCACTAATAATTCTCTCTCAATACAGGGCTAGAGAGCAACACAGGGCTGAATATGAGGGGGCGGGTGGTGTGAAGTGTGTATAAGTATCTGGAGCTGGTTTGAGGGAGTGAGATTTTAGATCTGTAACTTTTAAACAGGAACTGACGATTTTCAGTGAAATACCACCAATGTTTAGAGCATGCCGTGTTCCAGATTCAGACCCTGAGACCCTGGTTTGACGGAATTATCTGAAGAATATGTAAAGTCTAGTTCCGGCCCCCTAAATTAGGTAGACACCCTAACATTATGCGATGACGGTGAAGTTAGATCATATGATACAATATTCGTGTGTGAAGCTGGGGACAATGGATTGTGAATTGCATTTGTCACATAATCTGATTAGAGCAGGGTTGGGGAGACGGTGAGCCTTGTGAGTAGTTACTGTTTTCAGTGGTTCTGAGTGTGAGGGTTAACTAACAAACCCGGCTCCGGTGAGCTTACACCACTGTTACACAAGTCATGTGACCACTGTGACACATGTGACCACTGTGACCTAATCACGTGATCCTGAGTGATCTATGTTGTGACACTCCAAAAAGTGGTTTAAACAGAAAACTTACAATGCTTATTTTTCAATATATTTCCAGCTGAAGAGCACCTGATGATGGGTACTCCGATACTGGGGCCCTATTGGTGGTAACGGTATTTTAGGTCGTTGTGAGCCAGTTTAAACCTTGCAATGCTGTAATTTTAAGGGTACTTAATTCAATTAAGGGGGTTGAAGTAATTATGTGGGGCTCATGACTTATCTTACCGGGTAATGAATGAATTTAATTTGAGAAATGGTAGGTGATTCGAGCAATTTATTACAAATGATCATGCCCTACAATACGTGTTTCTGGTTATTCGCACATGATAGGTAGCGATTGAAAAGGATCTGTGAACTGTTATAAGATTTAAGTGGGAGTAATTTAATTACTGACAGACTGCAGCTTATTTGAGGTAATTTTGATTTTATGATTTCCGGTAAATCGTAAAATCACTCATTTACGTAACTAGATTCTCTCTGGCGTTAAGCCCGCCACAAACACACTCTAATTCTATCCGACAGTTAAATTTGTGCAGTTTAAAATGTTTTAAATACACTGCACAACTATTCGGATCTCACAATTTGAAGTGTACATCTTTCAAATTTCGTCTCAGGAATGCGGGTGGCCTCTAAATCTAAGTTTTTCTAATTATAACTCTGCAGGTCCTGTAGTGCTAAAATGGATACAGACGATATGTCTGGTGTTCTGTTTGCGAAACACCCAGCCTTATAACACCAAGAGGTTATCATGTCATCAACAACCTCTTTCGTAGAGAGCGTTATTTAACAACCTCTATGAATTATCATCAGTAACTAAAAGGATAGATTAATCCATATTAAGGCATTTCGCCAATCACCGGAAATCATAGTAGCTGTTTACGTAAGATAAACATATAATTGATATCAATCACCGGAAAGTAGTCCCTATAACTGAAACACAACACTAGATTCAAATGAATCGATGAAGGAGCGGGGGTGGTGAGATAACGAGGAATAGCCAGGCAGTTCCACCTACTGGGCAGACATTAAAGAGGGCTGGTGCAGCTCGTTATCAGCTGAGTATCCCTTATCAACCAGACCAGCGCGTAAACATGCATAAATACCCCTTCGAAAACTAAGACTTCACCGTCGTGCCACAGAGGGGAGGGGGGATGCGACAATTTGGAGATGCGACAATTTGGATTCGAATATATTTGTATTTCTTGTCATCCTCAGACGCTTCAAACGCTTTCTTAATTACACAAATTTTCCCACCATACTTACAGTTTGTAACGACTTTTTGGTGGACTAATTGATGTTTTCTCGTGATCACATCCCCCCTTTCACTTGATGATATTATGTCACCTACTTAAGAAAGGGACGATGAGAGAGAGCCGATGGGAATAAGAGACCAGTAGTAATTAGGAACAGAGG